GATCTCCGCTTTTTGATCAATGACTTCATTGATGACCATAATCCTGATGTTTTGTTGTTCACAGAAACATGGTTATATGACTTTAACGAGGCGCCCATTCTGATAGATCTGATTCCCTAGATCTACAATCTCCTTTCTTGGCGCAGATAGCAAAGGAAACTTTTTTAAGATTCACTGAAGTGTAAAAAGGTTTTTGACTCTTTTAAATATTCTCCTCTTCAGGGAACAAACATGTTCTAGAATTGCTCCAGGTCTCTTGAGTCCAAAACAAATATTTTAATTGATTTTAACTACGTTTATCTGTGATATATGTTGATTACAACTATTCTATAATCTGAAGATGGAAGTGTAATCTAGTAATCTTAGAAACTTTGGTTTGAAACCCTTAATCTCAGTGACTCCGCCATAAGGACATCCTAAGACAGGAGCATCTTTGGACGATGCTATGGATCCTTTAACCAGATCTTCTCCTCTACCTTCACTTTGCCCTCTAACCCTTTAAGATGACTTGGTCCATAACATCCAGGGTCTCCAAAGTGAAGCTTGTTTCTAGAGGGGCAAAGTCTGCTTAAAGAAGTTTTTTACCATTCAGAAGTGAAAAAATGTTGAAATGTCGAAAAGCCGAATGCAGCTGGCAAAAGACTGGCGTCTAGGTCTACAATAACATCTATAAAAAGAAGGAAGCTCTGCCTGTCATCTGATTTAACTCAAATACTAAATACTAAATACTTTTGTCGGGCGTTTTCCTCTCCGACGTCAAAACAGTGAGAGAAACTTTACGCAGGACGGCCAACTCCTCAGGACAGGACTCTGCTGTTCAGCTACACCTGGAGATTAAAGGACGCTCGTTTGAGGACAACAACGTCCAGATTCTGGCCAAGGAAGACAGATGGTTTGATAGAGAGGTTAAGGAAGCCATCTTTGTTAACCTGGAAAAACCATCTCTCAACAGAGAAGGTGGTCTCAGACAGAACCTTACACCTACTAACAAAATGACCTTTAGGAACAATACCCAGAAGATTCGCCTCACCTGCCCTCACCTGACTCACTTCAATGAGACATGGGACCAAAACTGACGAGGGAACCACCATTAACCCCCTGATGACCTCCATGGCCAGTCCAGTGGGAGGGATCAGAGCCCCTTTGGTTCCCCAGAATTCTTTGTTCCACTAGTTAGAACTGAAGAAGCCTCGAGGCTGAAAGGAGAAACATCTAGAAAGCTTCACCTCCGGCTCCTTACACTGAACTTTTTAACCATGACCTGGATGACTCAGAATCTTTACAGAGTCTCAGAAAATAGACTTTAAAGTCCTCCTGTTGGTCTATAAATCGCTGAATGACTCTCTGTTGTAACGTCCAATGAAATAAACTAATTCTGCCTTCTGTTGGACTGAGATCTGGTCACCATGGAGACCATTGGAGGTCAGCGAACCTATTGTGACCCTTTCTGACACGAGCTTAGCTTAATTGGAGACTCATCAGCTGATGGATCTAAATGAAGCTCTGTTGGTACCAGAGTGTCCAAACCGTCTTTAATGGAATCAGACGGACTCTGACATCAGGAAGGACCCGATCCTGTGCTGCAGATACGAGGCAGGATGGATCTATTCTCCCAGGTTGTTTCCACCAAGTCCTGACCTTCTGAATGATGCAGCTCAAACAGAGCTGGACAGGCAAACATTTTGTTCCACCCGGTTCTGGTCCAGTTCTGTTCTAGTCTGGATCCTTTGGTTGGATCCTGTCTTTAATAAGCTGCTGTTTTTTCCTCATTTAGGTTAATAAATAGCTGGGACCAAGAACAGTGAAAGTTTAACTGAAAGTTAAACGGTCATTTTGCTGGTTAATCAACGACTCTCACTGCTAATGGAAACAGATCATCTGCAGCAGAAACCAGAGAGGCGAGGAGGTTTTCTTACCCCACATGAGAACAATGCAGAACCAGCCTTCCATGTTGCAGATCAGACGCCTTCTGACTGTTTATGGCCCCTTTTACAATCACTGCTGTCTGAAGGTTTAAGGTGAGTGGTAGAGGAGGAAGTGTTGGTGATAAATACCCAGCTGAGCAGCCAATGAGATCATAAAACAGACCTCTCCTAGATTTTAATCTTACCATCTTTTACCTGTTTGTTCTATTTTTTTACAATATTAGTTTTGCTTTTGTTGTTAAAGGCATAGTGGATTATTTTGCTAATTTCTGAAAAGACCCATACCTCTGCAGAAAACACACATCCCCAAGAGGAAACGCCTATTTAACACGTGCGAGGGCGTTAAATAGTACTAAGCCTAAGCCTAACCCTCTAATCATTAAGGACGTTCTTCCTCGGAGATGCTGCTGATAGCCTCACATTCAGGAACCAGACAGGACGTTCTGTCTTCATGGTCACCATTACATCATCTGGAAGAGTCAAAGCTCAGAGTCAGACAACCTTCCTCCTGACTCCAGAAACCTAAAGCAGCTCTTTACTCTCAGTTTTTTCTTTTAAAATGTCTTCATGTGTTTTACTGACTGCACAAAGCATTGTTCTCCAGGGAAATCAGGAACATGTTTCCAGGTCTGCTTCCAAGATTCCCCGGGCTGCCTAAGGTGAACGTTGCAAAGGTTTTCTTTGCTTACAGATAGATGGAATAAAACTGGCGCAGGAAGTCGTCCAAAAGGTATCAGAAAATGATTAGCTTCATGTGTTGCTAAGGGTGAATAGCTTAGACAGATTGGTAGCTTTGGTCCTCTGCTAGGAAACAGCAGACTGCTTGTTTTCTGATGGTTCCCAGGGTGTTTCTAGGGTCTGGTAGATTTTGGAAACATTTCCATTGACGTGGACATTGTGATGAAATGATTACTTAGAAACGTGTAGCTCCATAGAGGGGCATAAAATCCGATGCCTAAAATGAGTGTTTCTGTCACAGATGTCTGCAGGATTTGTCATTTTTCCTGTGAGGCAACCTGGATCATTGTTCTCACTTGTTCACTCTGCCTCTGTGGCACAACCCAGGAAACTTCTGTTTTTCTGTTCTGTGGCTTCTCAGACAGTTGATGCCAGATTATAGAAAGCCTTGTTGTGGATTCAAATGATGCAAACTGTTGTTCTGTTGGAGAGACAATATCCAATATCTTTTGTCGTTGCTATCCTGTGATTCCTTGGTTTCTATTTCCATTAGTTCTTCATAGTTATTCTAGTTTACTTCCTATTTGTCTTTATAGGTTATTTGTTATTTGTTTCTGTTGTTTTCCTGGTTTCCCACCCCCCCCCCCCCCCCCCCCCGCACTCTGCTGCAATTCTCTCTCTCTCTTGTTGTGTTGAAATCCAGCGGCTGCATCCTCTGAAGGCCAGATTCATAGGCTGATTACATCATAGTGCGGCGCTGAGGCATTGGAAGACTCGTCGTTATGCGGCCGACGAATGCGTCCTTCTTTTCCCCCGTTTTGAAGGACGGGTCCGCTGAATCCTTCGTAGCCTCGGGTATCCCATGATTCAATGTGAGTCCAAGCAAGCCGGCTGCTCCGTGATCAGAGGAAAAATGGAAATGGCGCCATACAGTGGTGAATATTCGAAGTTCAGTTTAATATAATCCAGTCTGTGAATAGTTCCGTCTGAAAGGAATGAAAATAGTTGTTTTAATGGTTATAGAGTCAGATATGTGGCGGTAATGTTTGATTTATCTAAAGGTTTTATCTGTTAATGTGTAAATGGGTTTGGCTGGAATTTAAGCTCAGAATCTTATGGCCTCTTTAACGGATCGTAAGCTCAGACCTTTGGATTTGTTTACTTTTATTTGTCTCACCATGAAAGACCTTCACCTGAAGAAAAGACTTTTTCTCCTTGCTTGGAGTTAAACCCTTCTTCTTCTGTGACATCATCACGCCAGTCTTCATTGGGACCAGGATCAAGCTCCAGGAACAGCAAACAGCACATCTACAGCTCCTGAAGGTTACTGGCTTTACTTTTAGTTTTATATAGTTCCTCAAACAGACCAGACACCAAATATCCTATTTCCCTTTCAGACGTTTCCTGTTGGGGCTTCTGCCTTTTCCCTCCATGAAACTTCTGGAATAAATATTTTAAAATGCTGCCTGTGTTTGACTGAATTTCTGAACGTGTGGTTTTAGGATTTGACTGGAGGAGGAAGCTGAGGGTGTGGAGGTCTGAGCATCACTGGTTCAGGTTTCCCCATGAAGATGCTGCAGTTTTCAGTTGGAAAGGGATTCTTGATCTGATGGTTCCTTTGTCCCACCATGTGTCCTCTTATCTCCGGCCCTGGGTGTTTACGCTCAGGGCAGCTGTCATGTCCTAGTTAAAGTATCTCATTATGACACTGGAGTCTGTAACCTCCTGATCAGTAGAACCAGGATTGTAGCTATAATGCGACCAGCAGGGGTCACTGTTTCTCCTCTACTGGTTCAAAGAACAGTCGGACGTTTCCTTCTGGGAGGTTTTACCTCAGAGGAGAAACTGATGTTTAATTTGGATTAAAAAGTTAAAGTAAAGAGAGATCCAATTTTTGAATTTAGATAATTAATGTGAAACAACCCCCCCCCCCCCCCCCCACACACACACACACACCTTGGTTCTTCTCCATTCTGTGTTTTTATGGGTTCTGATCCAGTCCTGCTGTGAAGTTCATCTTCTGTTTTCCAGAAGCAGGTTTAGAAAATGTTCCACAGTTTATTTCTACTTTCTAACTGATTAAAAACTATTAAGTCCAACAGAGACGAGTTTATCTGTCAGACTCTGGACCTCTCTGTCTCCCTATCTGATAAACATGGAGCTTCTCATCAGCCTCTGGCTTCATCCAACCTTCTTCTCCTGGTGAAACATCTGAGCTGAAGCTTTATTCAGATCTTTAAAGCTTCAACCTGAACTATTTCAGTGACTGAAGGAGTTTTAGTTTGTTTCTGGGTTTTTCACCAAAGGAACCAAATTCAATCTATTGGGCCTTCATAGGGTGTTCTGTGACCCCCCCCCCCCTGTGGATGGACGGGGCCCCAGCATGCCTTCAGAGTTGTGCAACCCCAGTCATGTGGCTGCCATGGTTAATGATTGGCCCCCGGAGGATGTGTGGGAAGGGGGGTGAGGCTGAAGTCTACTGTCCCCCTGCAGTCTGCAGACACCATGGCTCTGCTGGTGGAGTGTGTTCCGAACTTCTCTGAGGGTCGAGACAAACAGGTAGGACTCTGCAGCTCTGCTGCTTCTTGAAGCTCCATGTTCTGTGTTCTTCAGCTCCAAACATCTAGCCAGAGGTCCAGGACCAGCATCTTCTAATGTTTATCAGACTATACTGCATCCATTCTGCCCCCAGCATGCAGTCAAACCCAAATGACTGGGAACCAGTCGAACATGGTGGAGATGCTGGTTTAAGCCCTTTAGTGACCCTGCAGTGAGTTAAAGCTCCTAGAGTGGTCAGAATAATCAATAAACATCTCCTGCATCATCCTAACAGACTTTGATCAACCATCAGCTTTGTTTGGATTCGGCTGAAGGTCCTAAAAACATCTGAAGTGATCTGATCTCTGAAACCAGGCTGCTTCTCTACCTTTCCCCAGGTGATCGATGCCATCTCTGCAGCCATCTCTCAAACCCCCGGCTGCAGCCTGCTGGACGTTGACCCAGGGGCCTCCACCAACAGGACTGTCTACACCTTCGTGGGTTCCCCAGAGGCGGTGGTGGAGGGGGCGCTGAATGCCGCCCAGCGAGCCTTCAGCCTCATTGACATGAGGAAACACTCAGGTCAGTGTGAGTCCACGGCGGATGTTCTCTCCTCAGGACAAACTGTTGATGAAGGTCTGCTTCTGCTTTAGGAGAGCATCCACGGACCGGGGCGCTGGACGTCTGTCCTTTCATCCCAGTCCAGAACGTCACTATGGACGACTGCGTCCACTGTGCCAACGAGTTCGGACGCAGACTGGCAGAGATGCTGCACGTTCCTGGTGAGAGGCCGAACCAGAAGAACCAGAACATCTGAACAACTGGGGAATGTTGGAAGAGATGTAAAATAAAAGCAGATTTTTTAATTTATCCTCAGTGTATCTTTATGGAGAAGCAGCGCGATCAGAATCCAGGAGGAGTCTGCCATCAGTCCGGTCTGGAGAGTATGAAGCTTTACCTGAGAAGGTCTGTGATCAATCAAGCAACATTCAGTTTTACCATGTTCCTGCTCACCTGGATTAGAACTACTGCGATTTCGCAGACAACAACAGAGAGCGGTGTGAGGAAGAGGTGCTGGTGAAACCTGTGCAGCGTTTCTGTCCAAAGCGATGCTCTGATCAACCAGCGTTCCAGGCGACTGGTTGATCAGAGAGCTGATTGGATCAGTCTGAAAAATAGGCCAATAAGTGTTGGTTTACTCTCTGACAGTCACCTAGTTACCGCTCGAAGCTCGAGTAAAAAACGATCGCCAAGCATCTCCCTGATGTTTGCTAATGCTGCCTGTCAGTCAGTCCAGTGGGTGGCAGTAAGGAGACCTCTGAAACCTGCAGGACAGGAAACCCTTAGAGGGTTGGAGATACTGAGGAGCGACATCAGAGTGGAATATTTTATCTTATCATTCAGCTTTCATCACATCATAAACCAAAGGAACTGGTTTCAGAACAGAAGCTAATATTAGCGAATATTCACACAGAACAAGACATGATGATGCTAGAGTTCACATAGTCAGGAATGAATTTCACTTCATCAAGACCCACAGATCCACCATCTTTGTTCTCCTCCTTCCCTGCAGCTGAAGCGTGAGGACTGGGCCCCAGACTTTGGCCCCGCCCTCTTTGTGCCATCATGGGGCGCCACGGTAACCGGGGCTCGCAAGTTCCTGATTGCGTACAACGTGAATCTGATCAGCACCAAAGAACAGGCTCATCGTATTGCCTTGGACATCCGGGAGCAGGGCCGAGGGAAGGACCAGGTGCATGCTGGGAGATACATGTTCATCAGGAAATCAGATACTCTAGAACTTAATTCATGATAATTCATTACTGGGAGCTCCGTTTTTCACCCTTTATTCACACATCCACGCACTGCTGGTGGTGAGCTACATGCTAATGGCTGAATCATTAATGAAGATGAGATGAATGAATGAATGAATGAATGAATGAATGAATGAATGAATGAATGAATGAATCTAATCCTGAACCAATCAGCACATCAAGCTTCTGCTGACCTGGTTGGGTCTCTGCCTGTTGAACGCAGGTATGAAGGTCTAGCAGCACCTTTCTCTGACTTCCTGTCTCGCTCTGAGCAGCCAGGACTCCTGAAGCAGGTGCAGGGGATGGGCTGGTACCTGGAGGAAGCCAACCTGGCTCAGGTGTCCACTAACATCCTGGACTTTGAGATGACGCCGCTGCACGCTGTGTATGAGGAGATCTGCAGGGATGCTGAGGTAAAGGTCTGGATGTCTACAATGAACCTGCAGAGGCGTGAGTTGCACTATGACAGATGTTCATGGTGTTCAGGAGCTGAAGCTGCCGGTGGTCGGCTCTCAGATCGTCGGTTTGATTCCCCTAAAAGCTCTGCTGGACTCTGCTGACTTCTACATCAAAAGAGATCAGCTCTTCATCATTGAGGAGGAGCACAAAGTCCGCCTGGTCAGTAGGCAAGTCTGTTTGCTAGCAGGGTCAGTTCTGCATTTGAACGTCTCCTTAACGATCTGCAGGTAATCAGCAAACTGGGTCTAGATTCCCTCGGCCCGTTCAACCCAAAGGAGAGAATCATAGAGTGAGTTTACTCCTCCTGCAGGTTCAGAGGCAGACATCAGATGACAGGCTGTGGTAAATGTGGAGGTTTCTTACAGGTACATGGTGAGGTCAGAGGAACAAGGCGGCCTTATATCTCTGTCTCTGCAGCAGTTTGTTCACAGTGTCGGCGCTCGAACTGCTGCTCCGGGAGGAGGATCGGTTTCTGCTGCCATCGCATCCATGGTGAGCCACCAAAGGCCGTCCAGCAGGGGGAGTCACCTTCATGTTATAATTGCTGTGATGCTATTATTCCTGTAGGGGGCAGCATTAGGTGCCATGGTGGGACAGATGACATACGGAAAGAGACAGTTTGAGAATCTGGACAGCGTGATGAGGAAGCTGATTCCTCCATTTCATCAGGCAATGAATGAGCTGCTGCACATGGTGGATGCAGACTCCTCTGCCTTCAACAGCTACATGGTGAGGATCACAGGGTGATATAACACCTGCTGAAACACCTGCAGACGGACACACCTGCAGATAGAAACACCTGCAGATAGAAACACCTGCAGATAGAAACACCCGCAGACAGAAACACCTGCAGATAGAAACACCTGCAGATAGAAACACCTGCAGATAGAAACACCTGCAGATAGAAACACCTGCAGATAGAAACACCTGCTGATAGAAACACCTGCAGATAGAAACACCTGCTGATAGAAACACCTGCTGATAGAAACACCTGCAGATAGAAACACCTGCAGATAGAAACACCTGCTGATAGAAACACCTGCAGATAGAAACACCTGCTGATAGAAACACCTGCAGATAGAAACACCTGCAGATAGAAACACCTGCTGATAGAAACACCTGCAGATAGAAACACCTGCTGATAGAAACACCTGCAGATAGAAACACCTGCAGATAGAAACACCTGCAGACAGAAACACCTGCTGATAGAAACACCTGCTGATAGAAACACCTGCTGATAGAAACACCTGCAGATAGAAACACCTGCAGATAGAAACACCTGCTGATAGAAACACCTGCAGACAGAAACACCTGCTGATAGAAACACCTGCAGATAGAAACACCTGCTGATAGAAACACCTGCAGATAGAAACACCTGCAGACAGAAACACCTGCTGATAGAAACACCTGCTGATAGAAACACCTGCTGATAGAAACACCTGCAGATAGAAACACCTGCAGACAGAAACACCTGCAGACAGAAACACCTGCAGATAGAAACACCTGCAGACAGAAACACCTGCTGATAGAAACACCTGCAGATAGAAACACCTGCTGATAGAAACACCTGCAGATAGAAACACCTGCAGACAGAAACACCTGCAGACAGAAACACCTGCAGATAGAAACACCTGCAGACAGAAACACCTGCAGACAGAAACACCTGCTGATAGAAACACCTGCAGATAGAAACACCTGCTGACAGAAACACCTGCTGATAGAAACACCTGCAGATAGAAACACCTGCAGATAGAAACACCTGCAGACAGAAACACCTGCAGATAGAAACACCTGCAGATAGAAACACCTGCAGACAGAAACACCTGCTGATAGAAACACCTGCAGATAGAAACACCTGCAGATAGAAACACCTGCAGACAGAAACACCTGCTGATAGAAACACCTGCAGATAGAAACACCTGCAGATAGAAACACCTGCAGACAGAAACACCTGCAGATAGAAACACCTGCAGATAGAAACACCTGCAGATAGAAACACCTGCAGACAGAAACACCTGCAGATAGAAACACCTGCAGATAGAAACACCTGCTGACAGAAACACCTGCTGATAGAAACACCTGCAGATAGAAACACCTGCAGATAGAAACACCTGCAGATAGAAACACCTGCAGATAGAAACACCTGCAGACAGAAACACCTGCAGATAGAAACACCTGCAGATAGAAACACCTGCAGACAGAAACACCTGCTGATAGAAACACCTGCAGATAGAAACACCTGCTGACAGAAATACCTGCTGATAGAAACACCTGCAGATAGAAACACCTGCAGATAGAAACACCTGCAGATAGAAACACCTGCAGATAGAAACACCTGCTGATAGAAACACCTGCAGACAGAAACACCTGCTGATAGAAACACCTGCAGATAGAAACACCTGCAGACAGAAACACCTGCAGACAGAAACACCTGCTGATAGAAACACCTGCAGATAGAAACACCTGCAGATAGAAACACCTGCAGACAGAAACACCTGCAGATAGAAACACCTGCAGATAGAAACACCTGCAGATAGAAACACCTGCTGATAGAAACACCTGCAGATAGAAACACCTGCTGACAGAAACACCTGCTGATAGAAACACCTGCAGATAGAAACACCTGCTGATAGAAACACCTGCAGATAGAAACACCTGCTGATAGAAACACCTGCAGATAGAAACACCTGCTGATAGAAACACCTGCAGATAGAAACACCTGCTGATAGAAACACCTGCAGATAGAAACACCTGCAGATAGAAACACCTGCAGACAGAAACACCTGCAGATAGAAACACCTGCAGATAGAAACACCTGCAGATAGAAACACCTGCTGATAGAAACACCTGCAGATAGAAACACCTGCTGATAGAAACACCTGCTGATAGAAACACCTGCTGATAGAAACACCTGCTGATAGAAACACCTGCAGATAGAAACACCTGCTGATAGAAACACCTGCAGATAGAAACACCTGCTGATAGAAACACCTGCAGACAGAAACACCTGCTGATAGAAACACCTGCTGATAGAAACACCTGCAGATAGAAACACCTGCAGACAGAAACACCTGCTGATAGAAACACCTGCAGATAGAAACACCTGCTGATAGAAACACCTGCAGATAGAAACACCTGCAGATAGAAACACCTGCAGATAGAAACACCTGCAGACAGAAACACCTGCAGATAGAAACACCTGCAGATAGAAACACCTGCAGATAGAAACACCTGCTGATAGAAACACCTGCAGATAGAAACACCTGCTGATAGAAACACCTGCAGACGGACACACCTGCTGATAGAAACACCTGCAGATAGAAACACCTGCAGATAGAAACACCTGCAGATAGAAACACCTGCAGATAGAAACACCTGCAGATAGAAACACCTGCAGATAGAAACACCTGCTGATAGAAACACCTGCAGATAGAAACACCTGCTGATAGAAACACCTGCAGATAGAAACACCTGCTGATAGAAACACCTGCAGACAGAAACACCTGCTGATAGAAACACCTGCTGATAGAAACACCTGCAGATAGAAACACCTGCAGACAGAAACACCTGCTGATAGAAACACCTGCAGATAGAAACACCTGCTGATAGAAACACCTGCAGATAGAAACACCTGCAGATAGAAACACCTGCAGATAGAAACACCTGCAGATAGAAACACCTGCAGACAGAAACACCTGCAGACAGAAACACCTGCAGATAGAAACACCTGCAGATAGAAACACCTGCAGACAGAAACACCTGCAGATAGAAACACCTGCAGATAGAAACACCTGCAGATAGAAACACCTGCTGATAGAAACACCTGCAGATAGAAACACCTGCTGATAGAAACACCTGCAGATAGAAACACCTGCAGATAGAAACACCTGCAGACAGAAACACCTGCAGATAGAAACACCTGCAGATAGAAACACCTGCAGATAGAAACACCTGCTGATAGAAACACCTGCAGATAGAAACACCTGCTGATAGAAACACCTGCAGACGGACACACCTGCTGATAGAAACACCTGCAGATAGAAACACCTGCAGATAGAAACACCTGCAGATAGAAACACCTGCAGATAGAAACACCTGCAGATAGAAACACCTGCTGATAGAAACACCTGCAGATAGAAACACCTGCTGATAGAAACACCTGCAGATAGAAACACCTGCAGACAGAAACACCTGCAGATAGAAACACCTGCAGATAGAAACACCTGCAGACAGAAACAGCTGCAGATAGAAACACCTGCAGACAGAAACACCTGCAGACAGAAACACCTGCTGATAGAAACACCTGCAGATAGAAACACCTGCTGAAACACCTGCAGACAGACACACCTGCTGATAGAAACACCTGCAGGCTGAAACACCTGCAGATAGAAACACCTGCAGACAGAAAAGCCTGCAGAAAGAAACACCTGCTGATAGAAACACCTGCAGATAGAAACACCTGCTGAAACACCTGCAGACAGAAACACCTGCAGACAGAAACACCTGCAGACAGAAACACCTGCAGATAGAAACACCTGCAGATAGAAACACCTGCTGATAGAAACACCTGCAGATAGAAACACATGCTGAAACACCTGCTGATAGAAACACCTGCAGGCTGAAACACCTGCTGATAGAAACACCTGCAGATAGAAACACCTGCTGAAGCACCTGCTGATAGAAACACCTGCTGATAGACACACCTGCAGACAGAAACACCTGCTGATAGAAACACCTGCAGGCTGAAACACCTGCTGATAGAAACACCTGCAGATAGAAACACCTGCTGAAGCACCTGCTGATAGAAACACCTGCTGATAGAAACACCTGCAGATAGAAACACCTGCAGACAGACACACCTGCAGACAGAAACACCTGCTGATAGAAACACCTGCAGGCTGAAACACCTGCTGATAGAAACACCTGCAGACAGAAACACCTGCTGATAGAAACACCTGCAGATAGAAACACCTGCAGGCTGAAACACCTGCTGATAGAAACACCTGCTGATAGAAACACCTGCAGACAGACACACCTGCAGACAGAAACACCTGCAGACAGAAACAACTGCTGATAGAAACACCTGCTGATAGAAACACCTGCTGATAGAAACACCTGCTGATAGAAACACCTGCAGACAGAAACACCTGCAGATAGAAACACCTGCTGATAGAAACACCTGCAGGCTGAAACACCTGCTGATAGAAACACCTGCAGATAGAAACACCTGCAGATAGAAACACCTGCAGATAGAAACACCTGCTGATAGAAACACCTGCTGATAGAAACACCTGCAGGCTGAAACACCTGCTGATAGAAACACCTGCTGATAGAAACACCTGCAGACAAGAACCGGGGCAAAGTGACGCATACAAAGCAGCAACCTCTAGAAAATCAAAGGTGAAAGGCTAACATCATAGTTATGTTACGCCTCCTTAACTAATGAGGTAAAAAATGTGGAATGAAAGTTTCTGTTATTGATGTATTTAGTTAAGAAAACCTTTATGTCCTAAAGTTAGAACACTTTAGCTCATAAGTCCTACCGTCTCCTGCTAAATACCGCCAGTAAAAACTCAGAATGATCTAAATTAACTAATTTTGATCTAAATTAGTGAAATAAATTAACTTAAATGCACCTGTGCAGAGAAATATGCAGAAACGCTGTGAGCAGACACAACAGAGACACCTACTGGTGATTTGAGTCATGACTTCGGTTCTTCATCTGTTTTCCTGCTTGTCTGGGTTACAGGTGGCTCTGAAAATGCCAAAGAAAACTGAAGAGGAGAGGAAAAGGTGAAAGTTCTGATCCTGAGAACATCACTTCCTGTTTATCTTCTGCTGATGGAGGCTGTGTTGTTTCTGCCTGCAGACGAGAAGCTGCAGTGCAGGAAGGTCTGAAGCAGGCTGTGGGCGTCCCTCTGGCTCTGGCCCAGAAGATCAACGTCCTCTGGCCGCCTCTGAAACAGATGGTTCTCTACGGAAACATTGGCTGCAAGTCCGATGCTCAGGTAGAACTTTGGAGCTTTGCTCTAGAATAAAACATCTGATCTCCTCTATTTGTTCATTTTCTAGATGAACATTGTAGTTCATAGCTTCGTAGAGCGTTTCACAGACTAAAGTCTTCCTACCTGTGGGTTTCAGGTTGCAGCCAAAGCCCTGGAAGCAGCCGTTTATGGAGCGTACTTTAATGTGTTGATCAACCTCAAAGACATCTCAGACGAGGCCTTCAAACTGGCAGTAAGTTCGACTCCGACCTTTAAACCTTTTATTCAGTGGGATCAGCATTAATTCTGCTTCTGTTGCTGCTTCAGACAAAGAGAAGAGTGTCTGAGCTGCTGCAGGAAGCCAAAGACAGTGTGGCCGCCATCCTGGACGCTGCTGAGAAAAGAACATGAGACCTTCTGAAGAATAAAATCATTATTCATCAAAACCGTGTCGATCTTTCGACCTTCTAGGTACAGAATCAGGACCAATCCTCTCCTGATGGTCCAAGGTTCTGGTTCCTGACCAAGAAATACTAATATCTCTGTGAGGATTTAACCTCCTGGTGGGAAGTTCTCCCTGAGGATCATGTTAGCATCAAGGTGTCGTTGTAGCAGAGGCCAGAGCAGCTGGATCTCCAGACAGGGAGGTGCATTATTTGGCCGTCTGGTTTCAGGTGTAACGGATCGTCCTGGTTGCAAGCCAACCAATGAAAGCTATGATGTCACTTTGCGTGGACCATCCAGGTCTGGTTGGTCAGCAGCTCTGTGGACATCATGACTCTGAGATCCATCTCTGCTGTTCTGAACTCTCTTCTCTCTAAAAGCAGAAAGTCGCCTTTATCAAGCTGGTTTCTACCTTTAATATAAGGTTTAAGGAAAAGACTTCTGTGTAATTAGTCGATGACTTCAGTACCTGTTGACCAGGTGATTGGGGGCGCCGTCATTTGATCAGGGTTCAAACTTTGGTCTTTCCTCAAGAAACAACTTTTATATGAGAAATGATCTCCACCCTAGAAACAGTGTCCCAGCTAGCAATGGCAGGGTACCGTTAGGGTCACCTGTCCCATATTTAGTGGAAAAGGAAGGCACTTTGTCCCGTATTACTGTGAGAGTGAATAAATAGTAAAAAGCTAATGGAAAATAAAGAACAAGGCCACGTTAGATACTAAACTTACGGTAAACATGTTCCCGCCCCTGTCCTGCTTTGTGACCAATCAGCTGACAGCATATATGTAACGATCCAGAATCCGCTCATTATGATTTTATTTTCTGTTTTATAGCGGTAGCCTACAGTCATTGCATTTAAGGCACAGATATGTTTACAAGTTTGCTGTTGCACCAAAAATGTGCACCATTTATTTATTGTTTTATGTTCATTTGTACAGTTTAAGTTAAGCAGGACAGGCTTATGTTTAAGATGCTTATTTTATTCAGCAAAGATTGTTTTCCGCGTGTTCATGTCGCTCACAAATATGCATCTAATTCAATGCAGATTTGAGCCAAATAGTAAAAAAAATCATTTCACACACAAATGGGGGCTAAAAAAAATCACCACACGAGGAGGGGTGACGGGAATCGGGTCACCTGGCACATGAGGGGTCCTTTTCTTTTCAGGGGGTGGCAACACTAGGTACCCCCCCACCCCACCCTACACCCCCCTGGAGGAAGTTGGCTCTTTCATAAAGACAGGAATAAGATGAAGGAAATGTTTAGATCTTTTCACTCCAGATAAAAACACTAAAAAGTAGATATTTCATCCTGAAATTGAAGCCCAACTGATGGAAGCGCCCTCTAGTGGAGAGATAACAGTGTGGCAGAAAGTAGCTGAGGTAGATTCTGCACAGATTTGACCATTCTGGATCAGGAACATCTAGAAGGTTCTGAGTTTGGATTGAAGGACGACGTGAGAGTTTAGTTAAACTCTGACTTAGAACCAAGTGGGGAAGAACTTCCAGATTCAGTTTTTAAAATCAGTTTATTTTCTACTACAAAAACAATGAACAACATTCCTTTATAGATCTGGATCAACCAGATCATCCAGTCAGATTAAAGGTTTAAATGTTGTATCTAAGGTAAACCAGCTGATTGCTTCAGTCATTAACCAACCTGGTTCCCAGTGTAACCAGTATCAGACCAGAGGAAATGAGAGAATTCCCCCCCCCCCCCCCCCCCCCCCCCCCCCCGGGGGTGTTGGCTTTGGTTGGTTTCATACATGGAGTTTCAGCTCAGAGTTCAGCTCTAGACAACATAGATCTACCATTAAACCTCAATGCTGACTAATGGCTCTGAACTGGAGATATTTCTGTTTCACCTGCTTCTAAAGGGAGAATTCAGGAAGAAGCAGAGAGGGAAACCTTCTCAGCTCAAAGTTCCTCCGTAGAAAAACTGGATTATTTATCAACTGGATGGATTCCAGTCGCTGGATCCCATCCTGCTGTGATTGGCTGTTCATCTGCTGAGATGATCCATGTTCTCGCCCTGCAGTCCGCTGAAGAGTCTCATTGTTTGTGGAAAGTCCAGAACCAGGATCTGGATCCAGCTGCTCCCAGTGATCAGACCGTCCTGCGGCTCGCTGGGTTTGAGGACTGGAACCAGAGAACGGTGTCTCCTGATTGGTCGGTGGAGCAGTCTGAAGGTGGCGGGATGCAGGTGGGGAAGAATTAAAACTCCTCAGCTTTAGATGTTCACCATGTTCCCTACGCTGAGGGATGGAAACACTCACGCCTCCTCTGGGTCAGTCATGGGACTCCACCAGGCTCCGCCCTAAAGTGGGGGGGAATCAGTGACACTATATTAAAGGGACAGAGACGTCCTTCCTGTGGCGGTCAGATCCCAGCCTGTTAGTCCGGTTTTATCAGGGTTCTAGTTACCTTTGGGGAGAACATTCCTCCTGAAGTGTTCCTCTGTTCCGCTGTAATAAAAAGGTTGATCCACCTGTTGGCTGAAAGAGGGCGGAGCTGAACATGTAGTAGGTGTTCTCTCCATCCACGGCCTCGCTTTGCTCCAGTTTATTTAACTCCAGCAGGTGTTGAGCAAACCTCTGGGCTGCAGCACACATTTCTGCGTTCAGAACCAGAGGAGGCGTTTGATGCAAGGCTCTGTAGGAGTTGTGTGCATCCAGGAACTCATTCCTAAACATCTCATCTGCAAAACAACCAAGCGAAGCGTCAGGCTGTGATCTGACCCACAGGTTCTATGGTTTGGTGGAGAAACCAACCTGCACACGTTCTCCAGGTTGTAGAGGCCGATTGGACATATGAGTCTAGATGTAAGGAAGCTGATGTTAATGTTTTTCCAAAGTTTGTAAATGAACATCGTGAAATCAACTATTTTTAAATGAAGTCAATCTTGTCACCTTTTGGAAGAACATTTTTCTCAAAGTGACCTGGATTAGTGAAGTTTCCTGCTGGACGGTACCGTCCAACGATGAAGACTCGTCTACCATCAGAGGCCGAGCCGACTCCGAGCTCTCTGCTGCTTTTCCACACAACCTGAGAGAAGCTTCCTGCAGAACCGACGGAATCAGAGACGTTTGCTTAAAGAACAGAAACATTTAAGGACGAAGAGAATCTATTGCTCATCGTTTTAGACCAGTGCAATAAACGCTTTCTAGAGAGGCATCAGTTAGATCTACACCATGCTGGAGGTGGTCCTGTTGAGGGGGGGTCTCTGGTTGGCTGGGTCATCCAGATTGCCTTGGCTCTGCCTCTGAATAGATGGGGTCTGGGAGGGGGTCAGGGTCAGTGTCTGGTTTGCTCAGGTTAGGAGGATCCTTGGTCTTGACTGGTGGACTGGGAGAGGCTTCTGGTTCTGGTGTGGTCTATAGTGGTTTGTAGACCATCAGCTCCTGCAATAACTTGACGTTTTTACCTTTGAAACCCAAATTGCTGCCCAATAGCTGCACTGTTGCACTTTAACTGTAGGATGCAACAGGTTGGGTTCTGAAACCAGGAATCGTCAGCAGATTCCAGGGGTGTCAGGAAAACTAGCAGCAGTTCAGCGGACAGGATGAATGAACGGTAGCCGGCGCGTGCGGATGATGTCATACACGCGCCACTTTGTTTTAACAATCAAGGGCCCAATGTTTAAAAAAACGGCGTTCCCTTTAATGCTTCACTTGTTTAAGGAAATCTGTTGGTCCTCTCCAGATTTCCAGACACATTAGAAAGAAAACTGAGAATGTGGCGTTTTACCAGTTTTCTTCTGGAATCCAGGTCTCTGGAAGTCATAATGTTGGACCTCACTGTACCATGAATCCACCGCCTCCCTACCTGGAAACATGAGATAGGATGAAATCATTTTTCTGGAAAGTTAAAGTAATCATGACATAAACTGGAGGCCTTCTTCAGGATTTCTAAATGACTGAATAGAACAGAAGAGAGAGAGAGAGAGAGAGAGAGAGAGAGAGAGAGAGAGAGCGAGAGCGAGAGCGAGAGCGAGAGCGAGAGAGAGAGAGAGAGAGAGAGAGAGAGAGAGAGTCCTTCCAGGTCAATGACTCTACGGATGAACCGACCCGCTGGTCTAAAGGACTTGGAGCTGTGCATGTGGAACGAGTTCTCTCCATCATGGCTGCAGCCTGGTTCCAGGCGGTTTATTGCCAGCAGGTGTTCAGCCCATTCCTGAGCCTCAGCACATAGATCCCTGTTAAGAACCAGAGGTGGCGCTCCGTGCAGCTTCCTGTAGGCGTTATGGGAATCCAGGAACTCCGTCTGGAAGCTTCCATCTGGAACACAAATATCAGCTGATGACACTGATCTCTGTTTATTCCCTGGATTGCTGACCGCCCGTTGGTAGTACGGGGTTGAAGTGAAGCCATCAGCCGCCATATTGGTACTCCCTAGTTAGACTGGTCACAATGTACACTCACCGGCCACTTTATTAGGTACATCTGTCCAACTGCTCGTTAACACTTCATTTCTAAGCAGCCAATCACATGGCGGCAACTCAGTGCATTTAGGCATGTAGACATGGTCAAGACAATCTCCTGCAGTTCAAAGCGAGCATCAGTATGGGGAAGAAAGGTGATTTGAGTGACTTTGAACGTGGCATGATTGTTGGTGCCAGAAGGGCTGGTCTGAGTATTTCAGAAACTGCTGATCTACTGGGATTTTCACGCACAACCATCTCTAGGGTTTACAGAGAATGGTCCGAAAAAGAAAAAACATCCAGTGAGCGGCAGTTCTGTGGGCGGAAATGCCTTGTTGATGCCAGAGGTCAGAGGAGAATGGCCAGACTGGTTGGAGCTGATAGAAGGGCAACAGTGACTCAAATAACCACCCGTTACAACCAAGGTGGGCAGAAGAGCATCTCTGAACGCACAGTACGTGGAACTTTGAGGCAGATGGGCTACAGCAGCAGAAGACCACACCGGGTGCCACTCCTTTCAGCTAAGAACAGGAAACTGAGGCTACAATTTGCACAAGCTCATGGAAATTGGACAATAGAA